AAACAAAGCAAGTAATGCCGTATAAACAAATCTGTGGCAACTGGTGTTTCACTGACGACTCAGATAGTGTGAAGGACATTGCATTAAGTCACCGTTCAAGAATACAAACATTACTTATTGCTGCATAAAACGGAGCCTGATGAGTGTTGGCTGCACTGTGTGGTTGAGTGAAACAATAATAGATGTGTTACAGCCCGGTCCAGCATTTTTGACACGCTCATAACATTTTTAACATTGGGTTAATGTGGTTTCATGAGCACAGAAGGTGTAGCGGAGAGGACATTTATAGATGACGTTATAAAAATAAATTGTGTCCTCAAATACTGAAAGAATAGATGACTTTCCAGCATGACGATGATCCCAAACACAAAAATCTCGCAAGAGCTTTTATAGAAGAAAAAGTATTACCTGATTTCAATCCAACAAAATCTAACAAAATCTTATATACTTATACCAAAGACTGTAAACATCAATGATCAGGAAGATCAAATGAGTTGTCAAAACTTAAAAAGCAACTAAAATAATGTAATTGTTGTTGTTATTTGGTTCTTTAACATGGACCTTTTATTATAAAATAAACCCTCACGTTTTTCAAATTAGTTAAAAAAAGTTAAAATGACATTTTTGTGATATTGACTGATGGTGTGTTTTGTGAGTTCCTTTTGTGTGTCTCAGCAGTTAGAAAGAACAGAGACATGTTCAATTCCTCTTTCTCACAGAGCAAGTGAGAACAGGTCCACCTCTGCACAGACTCGGTCTGAACAGTGTTCATGAAGGCCCTCAACCACAAGTTTATAAATGATATCCTGCTTTGAGTATAGCACCTTTATTATTCACACGATAATGATAATACAGATCCTCCCTGCTTTCAAACAAACTCATTAAAGCAGTGCTTATTTTAAAGGCTACACTAACTACCTGTTCTCTCATACACCCCCGCACACTGTGCTTCACTGCTGTGGCCCTGGGATTGGAAACTTTATGCATATAAAATATATGTATTTTTCTAAACATCAATGTTGTTATATCAGCCTGAAGCAAGATTTGCATGGTTTTGCACAAAGTGTTTATTTATTGTCTCCTCTGTGCTCTGCCCAGAGCCCTGGGTGTACCCATCACAGACTATTCATTTGAAGACTGCCAGCTGGCCATGGCAGAGGGCCAGCTCAGACTGCCAGTCGACACCTGTCTGCTGGAGTTTGCCAAGCTCGTCAGGAGACTGGGGTGAGTCACTCAAACCTTCCAATAAGATGCACCCATGGGTGAGAACTAAGTGAGGGGAACAAGGGTGAGGCAATGTGAGAAAATACTCACAGAACACTGTGGGCCATCCAGACTAAGTCCCTGTCAGTGGCATCTGTGGGTGGTGAGGACTTTTGGGATCCATGTCCCCTACATTAGGGATTCCCAGTAGATGGTGAGCTGCCAGCACAGGATGGGATCTGGAGGGGGTACCGTTATCTCCACTCATGCACAGTTTCAATGACTGTCCACTCCCTCTTTGGTCTGATGGTGGAGGTGGCATTGAAGTGGACCAATGCAGGGGGGAAAACAGGGGTGGGAAAAATGTCGATATCAAGTCAAGTCATTATTGTGTCTGAGCCTTTTCTGCTCTGACTGTCATTTTTCTTTTTCTCCTTGTCCACATTGTGACCAGAGTTAATAATTAACATAACTTATCCTCCCCTCACTCTTCCAGGCTTAAACCACGGAACACCGAGAAGGTTCTGCAGGAGTATGGGAACCGAGCCAGGAAGCTGGAAGGGCAGAAGCTGGACTTGGATGACTTTGCTCAGTTCCTCGATGTGCCAGTTTCAGACATGCTGCGAGACATGTTTGCTCTTTTTGATGAGGTAAAGTTTGAGGAGATGTTTAACTTTTAATCTTGATAGCGCCCCAGTCCTCCTCAGTAGCCAGTATTAATTAAAGTGTGTATGTAGGATGTGAGCAGTATGTGCTGTACCTCTGGGCATGATACAACTCTTGGCAGTCGACAAAGTGCTGTGAAAACGCTGCAAAGCAAAGAAAGTGCATTTAATACAAAATGCATTCATAACACTAATCACAGTACCTTGTTTTTCAGTGGAGTGGGGGGGGGTGTACATGTGCATTGTAGTACACAAACACTCAAGGTTTTATTGCTCTGTGTAGTGGTCTTTTTCACATGCTCTGTCTCCATCTTTAATAATGTGATCTTCTCTCTCTGTTTTCCAGCATGAAGATAATTGCATGGATATCAGAGAGTATGTGATAGCCTTATCTGTCGTGTGCAGACCTGCCAAAACTCTGGAAACGATGAAATTAGCCTTCAAGGTTTGTTCTGTTTGAAGCTTCTCTAATCGCCCGGCGGAATATCATTTTCTGTGCCTGCTCAGGGTCAATGTGATATTTGCTACATTCAAATACCACATTGTGTTGGTTGTCTCAGATTTTGCAAGCAGAGTATATTATTGCAGCCAACCTGTTGTGGTTGCATGAAAATCAAAATTGCTCAAGTTTGAGTCACTTCCCTGTTTCAACTTGAATTGCTTTGTATAATTCTTAAGCAAGTTCTTTGACCTTAGTTCTCACAATGCCTCTGAGAGCAGATTCATTGTTTATAATAGCTGGTGTTGTTTTAGACAAAGGGGCGTCCCTTTAAAGACTGATTTCCCTGGCATGTAATCTCACAACCCAGTCAGAGGGACAAGCCACAAGGTAACTACTGCACTTCTTCCCTTTTAATCTTCTCCAGATGTTTGAGGCAGAGGAGGATGGTGCCATCACAGAGATGGAGCTGGCAGTTATACTGAAGACAGCTTTAGGAGTGACTCACCTCAGCGTGTCATGTCTCTTTGCTGCCATCGACTCTGAAGACACAGGGAAGATTACATTTGGTAAGAGAACAAATCAAATAATAAACCATCCCTTGTTATTGATTGACCTAAATATTTCTTCAGTAAATCTCTGTCCCAAACTTGGCTTTGCCATCAAAGTAGTTGTCATCTTTTCTGTCTCATTCCACTTACATTAGAAGCAGCAGACTTAAGAACCTGGTGATTTATTTAATTTAAATCTTGTTTTTCTCTGTCTCTGGTGCCCTCTTGTGGTCTTTTCACAGACAAGTTCAGATGCTTCTTGGAGCAGCACCCAGACTTTGCTGAGGAGTACCTGCACACAGATAACACAGGTCTTTACAGCGGCCCCTGCCACGGTCACCAAATAAAGCCCAGCCTGTCTTCCCTTAACCTGCGAGGCACTGCCACCACAAAAACGTCCAACGGTATCTGCCCTGATTTTACCCACAACGACACAATAGACGGACTCCTCAAGAAACACATCTGAAAAGGTTAAAAATGTAGTGGGAGAAAACGTACTCCTCTCCTGGTGAGAGGGTGTTTATAAGGGGCAAAGGGTTGTTGGTTACATGTTATTAACTTGTTTGAACAGTAAGGGACTTCATTTCGGTAACCATGATGACACAAATGAAGAAGGTTACCTCACCCTTTTTTATTAATATTGTCCATGAAGTTTTCTGAGGTTATTTTCAGCCTGGCAACAGTTTATTTTGTTATAAATTCCTTTTTTTTAGTTTTTCCATAGCAAGGCTCATCAAAATGCCAAACACTGGTTGTTTTCGATGCTTGAATACTTGAAGGGCAAGCACTTCTAAAGATTCCTGGGGCAAATGTTTATTTTTTTTCTTCTCTCTCCAACATAGTACTGACTGTGCATGTTTTTAACAAGTGGGAGGCAAGAAAAAAAATCGAGCCCCCAGAGAGTGAAGTGAACTAACTTTTAGTGAAATCAGTGTTCGATTCTCATTTTATTTGAAACTTTTGATGGTTTCTTTTCTTTAATGGTAGCTGCCTTTTGAAAGTGCAGAATGCATGGGCTCATATTATTTTGAGCGGTATTGAGGATTATTTATCTTAAGATGGGAGGCCCGAGGGTACCAGTGACCATTGTTTGACCACTACAAGCGTTCAGCTTTAGTCGTCACATTTGAGGTGAACTCAGGTCTCTACGAGTTGATGGTCATAATTGCTATGAGCCTGATATATATATGTATAAACATATATATATACATATAATTATATATTTGATTTAGCTCAGGGTTCAGTGACAAAAATGAAAATTTAAACTTGTATGATGTCATCATTTTTGATGCTCACTGGGTTACGTGCATGTTTTTTTTTCTTATGACATCAGTACTCTTCTGCCCAGTCATTCCTCATTCACATAAACATCCCTGATGTTTTCTCTTTCAGGGCAGATTCAAGTGTCTTTTATTTTTTTAAATTACACAATGTGGACCAAAAATGTATTGGGTGATTTAATGTCACCTGTAAATGTCCTTATTTTTCCGTCAGTGGTGTAATGGCTTTAAAGGAGAAAATTCACAATGTGTGACCATTGAAAGCACATTCTGTTGGGTGGTGAAGTTTGGTTTTCCAAAGGCAAGGTCATACTATTTCCCTTTTCTGCATTACACTGCTATACACTTCAAGTAAGTCCTCCACTTTTCACAGCATACGATTCCTCAGTCTGTCAGAAATCTCCAATGTTCCAGCATATTGTCACTAAACATTGGCTCCTTTGTCACCTGTAAATTTTCGATATTTCAGATGTGCATGTTCTTCACTAACTGAAGCTTGTTTTCAAAGTGAAACAAACACCTTTGCTGTTAAATCACATGTTAGGGACCAGTCTGGAGATATCCATCTGTGGTAATGTTTATGCCTCAGTTTTTTAGTTTTTTTAAATGATGGTGGTATTGGCATGAAAACATTTGTCACAAATATAATTCAAGGACTTTAATAAGCTCTCACTAAACTGACATGCATACTCTGGCTATAAAATGTATCAATTATTATATAACTGGTGGTCCTATGATTTCCAGTTGAATTATCGTGAAGGAATATTTAAGATTACCAATTTATTTAACTTAGTTTAAAAGTAGAACTCTTAATTTGTCGCTAATAGTCTTTAAATTATTGATTTAAGAATAAAGTAACTGGGAATTCATACTGGGAAGAATGTTTGCAATTCTCCTGACATTTTTAAATTGTCCAGTACTTGTCGTTCTTTTTGTCTGATTTTTAATTCAAGAAACGTAATCTGAAATTACAATCAAGTGACAAAGTGATGAAAAAAAACAAACAAAAAAAACTTTTACAGTAATGCTTATTCCAATCATTTCATAGATATATTAATTGTTTTTTTGGGCCTTAATGTCTCTGGAAACAAACAAAATTACCTAAAACTATAAGAAAACACACAAAATGAAATGTAACTTATTTAGAAATGTACGTACCGTGCTTTATATCATGTTTTATAGGAAAATGGTTTGTTAAAGGGAATACTTCTCCTGAGCAAGTTAAAATATGTTTGCTGCCACTTTTATTTGGGATCTACTAAATTTTGCTCACTGGCAATTCAGTAAGTTTGTCATGTCAGTGAGCATCACATCCCGTCACATTCATGACCATGCGTGCTGTACACGTTTCCCTGTTATGGCTTTTAGTGAAGCAATATTTCACATCTCTTAAGCCTTCTCAAGACGTTTGCTTTTGAAGAGTTCTGATATGTATTTTGAATATTCCAAATGCAGGACATTTTGTGAATTTTTGATATACGTATATGAATGATTTTTATTTTCACTGCCATGACAGAGATCTGTGATCTTCTCTCCTCTGCAGATTGTATTGATGGTGAAAATTGAGCCACATGTTTTTGTTTTTTTTTCCTTTGTATAATACTGCAGTTGTTTTGTGCTCTAATCCTCCTACACAGTGTAAAGTTTTATTGTTGTTATATTATTACTATTATTGCTGAGTTGACTGCTTAAAAACAAAATGCAGATTTCATATGGAAACCGATAGCCTTGAATCTATAGAATTTTTATGCTAAAAAAACAGAATGTATAGACAATCCTGTCACGATCAGAAGCTACTCAAAGCGCTGATCTCCAGTGGACGTTTTCCTAACATGTCACGGTTTTCAAATGTACACTTTTTATCCCATCTCATTTCTCCTTTTTCGTTACTTTTAATGCGTGCAGGTTGAACTAAGCAAAGCGTGAGTGTGTTCAGTGTGTCAGGCCTTGAGGTAACGTCTGCCGACCACATGACGGGCCGCACAAACACTCCAGACTGTACGCACACATAAGAACTAACATTTGATATGTTCAATCACAATCGTTTAGTTCTGCTTTGTCCTTTTGAACTCTCTGTATTTGTGCTTGCACTTTAGATTGTTTTCTTTATTTTATTTTGAGGAAATGTCACATTGCGGTAAAGCATGGGTTACAGAATGGTAGCTCACTCCTGTTATAGTTTTGGATTCATGTATTTGCAAAGGGAGCATAGACAAAATTAGGGATCAGAAATAACAGAAGCTGTCCTATCTTCCACAGTTTGTTTTACTGTGTATTAGGGTTGAGTTACTTTAAATCACCTTCTAGACCGACTGGTCTGCTTTGTTTCTGGATTGTGGAAAGTCGATAGCTTAAAAATAGAACTCTTAAACGTACAGAACTCAAAAACATCGAACAGATTTAAACGACTACAAATTATTTGCACTGTGGAATGGACTAAGTATTTAATGTACTCCTGAGTGATGTGATTTTTACAACAGGATGTTAAATGTTCAATTCACCCGTTATGGGGAAATCCCGCTGTTTTTTGTACATAAGTGGAGGAATTCTGATTGTGAATTATGACACAATGATATGAATCAATATTTTAATGCTGAAATGTTCTGAGCCACAGTAAACCCCTTCATGCAGTTTTGTAATTTATTTTTATTTAAACAGAAAACTCCAGTTAAAGGTTGATATCACAGTTCATAGGCAAGTCAAATAAACATTTATATATTAAATATTTTCAAATAATTCTGCACTAGGGTTGTATGAAAATACTGGGTCCATTTCTGTTCACACTTGTTTTACTTCCCTTTATTTCGAATACCTCAGTAGAGGAGAATCTCAGTTTCTACTTGCTGAGGAAAATGTAAACCTGCGAGAGATAAACTTGTATTTATGCTACTGCTGCCTGCTCACCACAGTTTGTCCTGCAGTGAGCCTAAGACGAAAGACTTGTGTACTCTGATGGAGCGATATTGTCTTTCTGATGGCTCTCTGTGTGCGGACAGAGAAACTGAACTCGTTTTCTCTGTAGCTTTACTTCCTGTCTTTTTCTATACTCTACAGGTTTTATTTTATTAATGCATTTTGATGATGAAGAGTCATTACTGCAAGCTACTTTGAATTTGTCTGTTCAGGACTGCTATGATATAACTTGTTAATGTGACTCTTGGATTGAATTAAAAAAAGAAAAATTAACGCACAAGTTGTGTCACTGTGGAAATGGTGATTTTATAATGTGTGTGTCTGGTTGCATGATGTAGAGCTAGAGTGGGTTGATGTGCAAGTGTGAGGAGTTACACCACAACAGTACAAAAACATGACTCACTAAAATACACCTCACACTGAGCAGGTCAACAGTAACCAAATTCCTTTTTCTCCACAGGAGCTGACATGCAAATTCAAGAAAATGGTGAAACTCATGTCATCACTATTAGTGGAATGATCTTTTAATGCATTTTAACAGAAATGTCTATGACACTAAATGAGTAACTTGACTTTATCAAAGCCATTATCAAAGTTGCCACACTCAAACTTTTTGCTTGTCTGAAGAATGACTAGAAATACTCCACGTCTCCTCCCAGGTTTAGACTCGGACCCTCGACAGTCCAGAGCCAAATATCTCAACAACAGTTTAGTCGGTTTGTCGGGGAATTTGTATACAAACATTCCTGGTAGCCAGAGGACGGATCCTTACAATGTCACTGGTCACTTTTTACTTTTCCTCAAGGGCCATCAGCTGGTCAAAGTTACTCCGCAGCTCCTGGATGGATTTTCACATTATTTAGCAGGAACGTTCATGGATCCCAGACTTGAAGTCATCGCCTGACGTCTAGCGTAAGTATGCATGTTCATGTTTGCAACTTTTTCACGGCAGCCATTTTGACATGAAACAGTAGGTAAAGGCAGTTCCATAGGAGTGAAAATGATTTTTCACTCTGTCACCTACTGATGAGTTTTCATCATACTCATCATAAGCAATTCTTGTTCTTTTCCATCCTGTATTGATTTGTTTTCTATATATGTGACCAAAGATGACTGCGTTCTGAGTTACGACAAACTGATAATGTTCCAAGATGCTTTAACTTCATCCACAGGTCATAATCGAGAGAAATTTGAAAACACAAGTTGTTTTTGTACTTGATGAATGACCTGACATGGATAAGAATCTCACTGGAGGAAATAATTTAGTTTTTTAGATTTTTTGAAAAAGGTTCACTTAGTGGACATAATGTATAAAAGGAGCACAGTTGGAGGTCTCAGATGATTGACACTCCCTGGAGAGTTCAAATAACAGAATCCTAAATCACAGCTGGACCCTTCCTCCTTATCCTCTTCTTCTTTTGGCCCTGTACACAAAGACAAACATGTCAGACACATCTGATAGCAGCTGTAGTGACCGTGTTGCATTATTGAGTGTAAAATTGTATGAGTTGTATGTGAGCATAGTACACAGTACATACGTAATTGTCACCGGCTGACCACTCAGGGAAGAGCTGAGAGTGGAGCTGCTTCTCCCACTGTGCAGATTCATAGTATTTTTTCTGCTCCTCTTGGGTCATCGACCTCCACTGTGGACAAACACAAGCATAAGTACACACACATCCACATGAACAGGTGTAGGTTCTGCAATGTTTCAAACTAGTGAAGTTTGAAACCAAGAGTTTTGAACATTCAGAGCAAAGACACCTACTCTTTTTCCGATGAGTCTGTTGACTGCCGCACAATCTGTGTTTTGGAGCTCTGCCACAACGTTTGGCCTCTGTTCCATGCGGTATATCATAAAAGCATTTGGGGGCTTCTTGACATACGGCTTGCTCTCATCCTTTGTCTTTTTGAAAAACTTTCTCTTCCTATGGGAAACCAGTAAAACAGAGGGAAAGGATGAATTTCCGCTGTGTAAAACTCTGAGGAAAGAAACTAGCCGTTGACAAGGATCAAGGTTAATAAATTAAAATTGAGTCTCAGCCACAGATGATGAAGTCAGGTGGACATACCGACTGTTGGCCTGAACCACAGGGACATCAGAAGTGACAGGAGGAGCTGTATAGGTCGGAAGCCCATAAACCACCTGTCCATTTCTATAGAGACACATTCAGGCAGACACATTAGATGACAGAAGCAGTGAGTTGGAAGAACAGAGAATAAACAGTTGTGTGTTGGTTTGCATTTACGTGAGAGATACATACATGATTCCGAGAGGAGTCAGGTTGGTCCCCTGGCCCTGAGGGAGAGTCATATATTGCACGTTGTTCACCTGGAGACACAGACACAAGTTTCACTAACTGCTGGAATGAACTTCCGTGGACTCAAAACACAGTCTGTACATACTTATACCTAACGCAGACCTAATAATCCCTGTCCTGATGCTTATACTGCCATCCCAACAATGACAACCCACAGATTGATAATCCATCATAGCTGCTCTGTGGTATATCCCAGAACTCCATCAGGATCACTACTCTTAGGCCCATCCCATTTCACCCCTTCTTTTTTTACTTACTTTTTTAGGTGTGTTTTTATTATATTTTATTTGAATACATTAGGGTTAATGTTATTTTATATATTCTATATCTTTTTTTTTTTATATTAAATTTTTTTTTTCTCCTTGTGTAATTTTCAGAGCATGGCTAGAGGGGAGCCTGTGACTCAAGCATTTCACTGCCAGCGACTGCTGAATGTAATTGTTGTGCATATGACAAGAAACCCTTGAATCTTGAGTTACAAGGGATAGTGGTTTAATTCCCTCCCTATGAATTGGGACAGCGCAAGAAGCCGTTACGTCATCATTCGTCGTCGATGTAAACAGACGCGACAAAAAGTTTTGCAATTGACATTTGAAATTGAAATGCTTGGATACCCGTTACTCGCATTATTTCAAATATAAATACGAAACACATTGCTCCAGCCTACTGCCAGGATGCATTATTAATGGAGCCGTTAAATTAAGTAACCTCGCTGCTAAACTAAAAAAAAAAAAAAAATAGATCGCTGGCATGCTAACGTCAGCGTGCATTTTATTTTGAAGGTTGTTGTGCAAAAAAGGAACATAAAACATTGAAACGATATTAAACTAAGATAACACATTATAAAGCATCGTCATCTTTAAATCCTTATTAATGTAGAAAGCACTACATGTGTGAGTCTCTCTCTCCCAGCTTGGGGTGAAATGGGATTGGGTTTAGGATCCATGAATTATTAATTAATTAGTGAATAATTATAATTGAGAAAATGTATTTTCTCGGTATTATCAAGTTGCGATGAATCGATCGATCGCGTGTGAATCTCTTACCTGGCTGTGGCTGAAAGGCGCCGCCTGGCTGAACATCTGGAAGTAGTTCGGCTGCGGGGCAGCAGGTGGCTGGTACACGGGGGGAGCGGCTGCAGGTGCGGGCAGGGCGGGCTGCTGCAGGCTGAACCAGGCCGCTCCCTGGGGCATGTTGTATTCTGTCTGAGGCTGCTGCGGGACAGCCGCTTCCCCCGCAGGGGTGTCATCGGGAGGAAGAGAAGAGTTGTCAAACTCCAGACTCTCCATTATAAGGTCCAGAAAACTAGTACCGTCGATCGTGGCCTCTATCTCCTTTCCACTTTGTTCCGTATCAGTGATTGGGTGCCTCATCTTTGCAGATAATCGTAATAAATGCGAGAAAAGCTAAATGCAGTTCAATTGTCAAAGCACGTCTGTCTCCGAGGTGAACAGGGATATGACGAGCAAATATCTCAACTGTGTGCGATTTATCTCATTTTAACATTCTAAAATGACTTTAATGTGCACACGCAGAGATCAATGGCACTCTGCTCACGTGTGCACGTGATTATATTCACAGGATTCATAAAATAACAAGCATTTTTCTAATACAGGCAGAGAATACATGTTTGTTTGAGGGATTTAAACTGAGGACTGTGTGTTTGACATGAACACAAGGACTTTTATCAGCAATCAAATAATAACAATAGGGTCCTGCACTGTCAGTGCTGGGGCCCTAATAAAAGTGGTAGTAAGTCATTTATATAGCTATAGCTACTGATTCAATTTGTAAAGCTTAACAATTACAAATATTCCCTGGCAGTATTCCCTACCATGTGTAAAGAACGTACTGGAAACTTTATTTAAGTGTTTTCTTTTTTACCAAGAACTGTATCTGTCTCTTGCAGGTTTTATTATACATGACATTTTCATTTGTTGATGACGGACATCATGAAGAGTCCCCACTGTGTTGCTCAGCAGGTAAGATGGCGTTTTCTGTTTTTGGGGCAAAGTCCCAATTGTCTGGACTCAGTGGTCATGGTCATTACTTAATATGCAAAGAATTTGTCCTCATTCCTCTTTTGTGTCATTTTTCTGTCCCTCCCCACAGGAGTAAAAGAACACTGAGCTCATGACGAAGCAAGACAAGAGTAAGGAAAGTGTGTGATGGCCCATTTATTCTCAAAATGTTTTGACTTTTAATTTTTTAATAAAATATGTTAGTTGTGGCCATAATTTCTTGAATTTCTCCCTTCAACCCCTTTCCCCTTATGCACCCATCTCCCCTCCCTCCTCCTCTTCCTCTCTCTGGGTCTCAGCTGTTACATTTATGACAACAAGACACTCGATTATGTTCACCTCATTGTTGCCCGAGCTCTGTCAGGAACCTCGTACATCCAGCACGGCTTACATTGACCCAACGATTTCTGTTGGGAGGCCGGAGGCTTGATGGATGATTGCACTTTATAGATGTGTGCGCAGCGGCAGTGTTAGTGTAGGGGATTAGTGGCCCGATTGATCACAATGATTGGCTTGCAAACAATAAGCCGTCGTTCTGGATGCGACAGTCATAAATCTGTCCGTGGGGAGCAGGCTGATTGGGTTATTTGATGCCCTGGCCCTGTTTTGGTTGAGTTTGAAATGGGAGAGGTCTGGGTGTCAGGGCTGATTGTATTTAGGCCTGTCGGACATTTACAGGTAATGAGATTTCTGCCAATTGAAAGGGTGGGTAGGTGGGTCATCAGGGTCTATTGAGGCAGAGGAAGAAGAGAGGAACAGAGAAAAGAAAAGTGTTTGAAGGACTTTTTTAAAATAATATCAAGCAGATGAAAATAGATTTTATATCCACTCACATGTTGCTAAAAACTAATTTTCACAACTTTTGTCCGTGAGTTTTGTGGTCTTACAAAAATGATTTCCTTGAGTTCAAACTGTTTTTGATATTTTTAGTGAGAGATTTCCTTAAATGTGTGTGTGCTTTTCCTACTGGTTTTAGTAAAAACCAGTAGGAAAGTTGGAAAACAATGAACCAATCAGGATTCAGCAGTATTCTGATCTGATTGTTGGGTCAGTTGTGTTGTCAGAGAATATGTGCACACAATCCTGATCATACTCATTTTTTTTGTTCTTAAACAATAATGCTTTGCTAATTATTTCTTATTATTAATGCCTGTATTTATTAATACATCTTAAATGTTATCATAAAAACCTAAAGATGTCAAACCAAGTATGCAAGATCTTAAAATGACTAGTTTCGATTTCTTTTCTTGCACCATTTGCAACTGAAGACATAATGTTTGTTTTTCAGACAAATCTTTATTGACAGTCATTGATTTTTGGATTATAATTTTAAGAGGATGAGAACAATTGTTTGTGAAGAAAAACACCAGGTAACAAATTAGAATGGAATAGAACTTCATTGTCCAAAATGGAAGATTGTCTTTAGCTCACCAATCAATGAGCAACAATATAAAGGCAGACATTCATTAAAAACAATGTAACGACTCTATACACATACAGGTGCAAACCAACAGAGGTTCCATGCCTGAAACCACCCATTAGTCAGTTAGCACTGAAGAAGCCATGTGAAACGTCTTCAAAGAAACACATGCAAGTCCAGTTGTGTGTGTGTTTTCTGCTTCTGAAGACAACAAAATAATTTTTTTATCATTTCTATTTCCAAACATTTTAACTCTCGAGAGACTAAATCTGCAGGAGTTGTATAAAAGTATCATCTGGCACATTTTCACACTATACATCTTCCACTGCACTTCTTTTTATGAATGTGAATCCACAACCCAGTGATGATGGAGCCATAACATGTCTACTAACTTTAAGCAACCACAGTCATATCCTCAAACTAAGAAAGAACCATGCTTAACATGTTATCTTATCTTATAATAAAACATCTGGATCAGGTGGATGATGGCGAGGATGAAAGTGACCCTATAGGAAAAAACATTATTACAGGCGCATAAAGTGTTAATCAATGTGGGTTGATTTATTTTTTAAATATCATTCATTTATTTCGGTTTATTTTAACCACACAGAAAGACAAGTCATCCAGTAAATATGCAACGATATAGGAGAGAGAGCAGCAGGAGCAGAAGGAGCTTGGGTAAGGAGGGGGGAAGGGAGGGAGGAGAGTGATGGTGATGTGGAGGGGAGGGGGGGGGGGKGTTGTTGATTGTTTCTCATATTTGAAGAGTGGTCCCGCAGACAGATCTCCACACCAGACCACAGGGTACTCTGGGCTCTGTGTGTCTGTCACCGAAGCCAAAGAGGGTGGGAGGGCTTTTCCACAACTCATCATAGATATACCAGTTCCTCTCTATCTTTTTTTCTGTCTTCTTCTTCTCCTCATGCTGTGAGTCTGTCTCTCACTGCATCTTTCTTGTCTTTTGGGTATTTTTTACCGACATCTTTGCCTTAATCTGAGTCTAACTTCTCAAGGACACTCTGCGTAAATATGGTCAGCATCAGTTTGCAGCACACGGATGAACACCAGCACAAGTGGAATTAAATTAATTCAAACTTGAGGAGTGCCTATCATTTTCGAAAGGTGAGTGTAACATTTCTGGAAAAAAAAATTGTATTGTATAGGTGACTATTTTTACTATGTCCAACAAAACAGAATCAGGATGCAGCATTCGATGTTAGTTGAAATTCCAAAAATTTACCAAATTAATCATTGAATTTCAAAACATTTTAGTTATTAAGTGGAGCAACAAAGGTTTAAATCAAAATGTGATCGCTTGAGAAATTTAGTTATTGCAATTTTTAATGCTGAAAAATATTTATATGTTCCCTAAAGCAGTGATTCAGTTTTCAACAACAAAATTTGCTGCGTAAAGATATAAGAAAACCATGAAATCTATTGCAGATAATGCACATTATCATTTATTTCAGAAAAGAAAATGGGCTAAATATGATCCCTTTCTTATATTTGATGCATAATCCTGGATCTATTACTGATTCTTAACCTTATAAATATCATTTTAAAGAATAAAAAGAATCTAAACTGAATACGTGTTGTGGTTAGATGGGGATTGCAGACACTGGGACAAATCTGTGAGCAAAATGGCGATCAACAAGTGTGAAATGAAATGAGCACACTGTGGTGGCCTTGTAGAGACACTCCCCCACCCCTTGTTACCCTTATCCCAGATCCCATCACCATGTTTTCGCTTTCCTCTTCCAACTGTGAAGCTGGATATTCAATTCAGTGTATGAATTAGATCTGTCATATAATTTCATGATTAAAAGGGTTTTCTTTTTTTCCAAACTTTATTGTTGAATTCTTGTTGCACTGTTGTGTTGAGTTCCTGTTTTTTTAAAATATTTGCAGCAATTATTTGCCTTAAAGGGAAGGATAAAGTTCCCTTCCTGTGTTTTTTCTCTTTCATTCCACACATTCAGCTGCTTCTACCTTACGTCCTCTTCCACAACCACTGGCATTTCGCTGCTGAAAGCCGTGCACCCCTCCATGCTGACGGAGAGAGTCGCTGTCGGCCTCATGTCCTCGGTTGTAGCCCCAGAAAAAGCCCCCTCCAACACCATGGGCCCCAAAGAGGTCAGTGCAGATACGACTCATTAATGTGGATTAATGGCATGCAAATCAGCCTGATTGTGAAAACCTCATTGAATCACTGCATGATGCAAGTCTCCTAATTAAGTACATTTCTCAGTTTATGCTTGATTTAAAAAGTGTTGGGCAGCAGATGATTATTATGCACAACAAATATTAGTGCAAGATTAAAAGAAAATACAGATTTCTGATAAATTCTATGTTGTGTCTGACCCTGCAGGTGGAGCTGATACTTGTAAAGGAGCAGAATGGGGTCCAGGTCACCTCAACCACCTTAGTGGCGCCCACTCCTCCTCAGACCAACCTCAGCGGGGAGGAGGAGAGGGAGACCTGGGGGAAGAAAATCGACTTCCTCCTCTCGGTCATCGGATTCGCTGTGGACCTCGCCAACGTCTGGAGATTCCCTTACCTCTGCTACAAGAATGGAGGAGGTGAGAAGGAGGAAAGGAGTTGAGGGTAGGAAGCTAGCCTGAGGGTCTAAAGAGTCAATTAGTCTGTGACAGAGAGTCCAGGAGAAAGGAAGCAGAGGAGGGAGGGTAGGTGGTGGAGTTTATGTGCAGGGTTATTTGAAAAGAAATAAGATGGAGTAATCAAGGACGACACACATTTGCACTTGCAATTCACACGTGCACGTACAGGTGTGTAAATTTGCATGTGTCCTTCAGGCCCTTGGGTTTGTTAGTCACCATTTGTGATACGTCCAAACCCTTTACAGGGATCAAAATAGAGGAGAAACCACCACAGCTGCTCTGAATAGATTAGCTCTAACAGTCAGTGCCGCTAA